TTCAAGCTGCCAGGTTTGGGACTTGTCCCATGTGGTCGGCCTTGTGGGACCTAGCTGCCTTAACCTTAACCTCCACGCCACCTGCTGACCTCCCACTTTTTTTTTTTCTTTTTAAAGAATTATTTAATTTTTATTTATTCATTCATTTATTTTAATTTGACCAGAGAGAGACATAGAGGCAGAGAGAGAGAGAAACAGGGAAAGAAAAGAGAGAGAGAGAGAAAACCACCAGGTCTGGGACTTGAATTGCATTAGATCATATGGGAGTCCAGAGCCCATAACCACCATGTCACCTGCCGGCCCCTTGATTTATCATCATCATTATTATGATTTTGAAGATTTTTGCTATAGGGTGTGGGTACTTGCCAGAGACACAGAGACAGAGAGACAGAAAGTGAGAAATCCCCCCCTATGGGGGATGGCCATGCCACAGTCCCTTCCCATCTATTCTCCTCTTGGGATTTTGGGCACGCAAGTACATACACCCAGTATAAATTTTTTTAAAAAAGAATTATTTATTTATTTAATTTCATTTGTTATTATGATTTGTTTTTAATTTGACCAGACAGAGACAGAGAGAGAGAGAGGAAAGGAAAGTGAGAAAGCAAGCTGTAAGGCCTGGGACTTGAACTGTGGTTGACCATGTGGGAATCCAGTGCTTTTATTCACCATGCCACCTCCTGACACCACCTCCCCCACAGTGTGAATTTTAAGCTTCTGGGTCCCAGACTCCAACAGTGTCAGCCAGTGGGAGTCCAGCACCTTAACCACTATGCCACCTGTTGGCTCCTTTTTATTATATTTTTTTTTTTTTTTTTTTTACTTTATTTATGTATGTATTTATTGTAATTTGACCAGAGAGGGACAGAGAGAGAGAGAGAAAGTGAAAAAGCCAGCTGCCAGATTCAGGACACGAACTGCGGTCGGCCATGTGGAAGTCCAGCATCCTTAATCACCGTGCCACCTGCCAGCCCTTTATCATTATTTTTTAATTTGATGAGAGAGAGAGGGAAAGTGAGAAAGCAAGTCACCAAGTCCAAGACTCAAACTGCAGTCAGCCATGTGGGAGTCAGCGCCTTAACTACCATGCCACCTGCCAGCCCCCTGAGATTAAATAGAATGTAGCCCTCCCATGTGTACTGGCCTGCAAGCACAGTATCTTAGCAGGGCGAATCACTATAAGTCAGCTGTTTATAAATATTTCTTACCGGTCTCCATGTTGAATGACATCACCTGCTGTGCCTCATCACTCTCTTTTAGAATTAATCTGCCCCCAGGTGACATTTGGGTCATCTTTGTTTTAAATCATTGGTCATTATTGTAGAAGATAGTGCTTTGGTCTCCATCTTCTCATTTTCTGGCAAGGGTGTCAATACTGCTGTGATCAGGAATCTTGGATGGGGGGCCAGCAGATGGCATAATGGTTATATCTTTGGACTCCCATGTAGTCGACCAGTGTTCGAGTTCTGGACCAGGCAGCTTGAAACTCATGCTGGGTGTGTGTATGCATGCCCAAAATCCCAAAAGGAGAATGGAGGAGAAGGAATTGCAGAGTGGCCATTATCTCGGAGGATGATTTCTTGCTTCCTGTCTCTCTCTCTCTCTGGCAAGCTCACATACTCGATACCAAAAATCTCTGAAAAACAAAACAAAACAAGCAAAAAAAAAAGTCTTGAACAGGTAATGCTAGTGAAAATATGGGGCAAAGGATATGGGTCTGTAAGTTGGCACAACCTTTTTGGAACAGTTTAGCAGTACCTCTCAATAGAAATACCTTGACCCAACAATTCCATTTGGAGGGATTTTCCAACAAACTTCGTCATAGAATTGCAAAAGAATATAGGCATCTTGGGAACCAACAGTTAGCGTAATGGCTATGTCGCTGGACTCCCACGTAGTCGACCGCAGTTCGCTTCCCCGACCAGGTGGCTTAAAACTCATGCCAGGCGTGTGTGCGTGTGTGCCCAAGATCCCGAGAGGAGAATGGAGGAGAAGGGATTGCAGCGTGACCATCCCCCCTGGGGGGTGATTTCTCGCTTTCTGTCTCTGTGTCTCTCTCTGTCTGGCGAGCGCACGCGCCTTATAGCAAAAACCTCCCCCCCAAAAAAAGAATATAGGTATCTGTATCTATCTATAGCTGTGTATTTTTACATCTTTTTACGTATGTGAGAATGTATCGATATACATATGTATAGATGTGCATAGCTACATACATAACATTGTTTTTATTTTTTTTTCAAATAATTTATTATTATTATTATTGGAGAGTTTTTTGCTATAAGGCGCATGCGCTCGCCAGAAAGACTGAGAGAGAGAGACAGAAATCATCCTCCAGGGGTGAATGGCCTCCTCCGTTCTCCTCTTGGGATCTTGGGCACACATGCACATGAGCCCAGCGTGAGTTTAAGCCACCAGGTCTGGGACTCAAACCGCGGTCAATACATGGCAGTTCAGCGACATAGCCATTCCACTAACTGCTGGTCCCACAAGCCACCAGGTCCAGAACTAGAACCACCGTCGGCCATGTGTGAGTCTAGCACCCTTAGACATCATACTACCTCCCTGCTCCTGACAGTCTTAAGTTTTAACAATGGTAAACCCTAGAAGCAGTGGGAGTAGGGAAATATGAGGAGGGCTTTCTTTTTTTGTTACATCCTCTTTAAGTGTTAAATATAGGTAAAATAAACCAACTGAAAAATAGTGAAAACGTCTTCCCGGACAGGACACGGCTCAGTTTTGTTCATGTTTTCTTTTTTGTTGTTCTTGTTTTCTTCAGTTGTTCCTATTAGGCTCCGCCTGCCAACTTAATCTTATTTTTTTTTTTTTTAGAGAGAGAGATTTTTGCCACACCATGCGTGTGCTCGCTAGACAGAAAGTGAGAAATCACCACCACCCCCATGGCCACACCCATCCTTCTCTTCCAGTCTTTTCTACGGATTTTGGGCACTCACGCGCACGAGTCTAGCATGAATTTTAATTAACTGGGTCTGGGACTGGAACCTAGCTCAACCACGTGGGAGTCCAGTGACATACCATTAACGCCATCTACTCGGTCCCAGCGCCTAGTGTGTATTTTAAGCAGCGGGCCGGGACTCGAATCCCGGTCAACTACGTGGGATCCAGCGACTATCCGTTACGCCACCAGCTGTTCCCCAAGAAATGATAAGTGTCCATTTAACCCTTGATAGTGAACGAGCTCAAGCTAGCCAGCGAACTCTCTCAACATGGTGGTGACCAGTCTGTGTCCTTCGGTTGGAAGACCTTCCGAAAATGACAGTCCGCTGTAAGACCCCGCCGGAGCAGGACCTTCCCAATATGGCGGCCAAGGATCTGAGCGTCACTTCCGGCAAGGCGCCGGATATAAGGGGCAGGATTTCCGCTTTCGCTCCTTTCCGGCGGTGACGACCTCCCCACGAGAACATGCCTGTGAGTTCCTTGGTCTAGGTCTCGGCGGAGCTCTCGCTCTTTTGTCCGCGCTGTCCCCTTGCGCTAATTTCGGATCGTGGAGTGTTCTCTTGTGCCTTCCGCACTTCTTAGGGCTTTAGCTGCAGGGGCCACGGCGGCCCCCCGGCCCCTCGTTTAGACGGGAGCGGAGCGGAGATAAGATGGCGGCCCAGCTGCGCAGATGCCAGGGGCGGAGAGGGGCCTGTTCTCCCCGGTGTGTGACGGTGGGGGCTGCTTTCGACCATCGTAATTTTGCCGTTGGTTTCTAAGTCTTTACATTTATGCCCCTCATAGCTCGCAAAGGACCTCCTTCATCCCTCTCCGGAAGAGGAGAAGAGGAAACACAAGAAGAAGCGCCTGGTGCAGAGCCCAAATTCCTACTTCATGGATGTGAAGTGCCCAGGTGAGGCGATGGCTCGTTGTATTGGGGAGAAGCACTGGACCGCGACAGTCAGGAAAAGCGGGATCTGCCCCACGTCCTTTCTAAGTCTGTAAAATGGAGATAGTACTGTCCCTGATTGTCTTAATATTTAATGCAAAAGCCTGGTAAAATCCTGCGTGTGCGGAGTGATCTCCGTTAAACTTGAATACACGGCCCTGCGTTTCTTTTGTGGAATTGGGATAATGAGGTGGGCTTAAGTGAAGGAAAGGTATGAGAGTAATACAGGAGAAAACGTTAACTCTTTGCTTTTTGATTTTTTTTTTTCAGGATGCTATAAAATCACCACAGTCTTTAGCCATGCACAAACGGTAGTTTTGTGCGTTGGCTGCTCCACTGTTCTCTGCCAGCCTACAGGAGGAAAAGCGAGGCTTACAGAAGGTGAAAGATTTAATTAATCTGATTTTAGGTTTGAATCTTAAAATGACACGGATTACTTAATATGTACATTTTTTAGATCCTCTCATGGAGAATGGTAGTGGGTAGTCATTTGTAATCTCAAAGTGTTACCATCTAGAGGTGGGATGTGGGTGGTAAAGGAGCTTTATGTGGGCCCCAGGTGATAAAAAGTGACTAAGATGACTAGATAGTAAAAAATAGAGAAAAATAAAGGCATAGCTTTCCCTGGGTAGATTGCCAGGCATTTTCAGGGACATGGGGCATGTCATTTAACCCCTGAACCTTTTTTCCAGGATGTTCCTTCAGGAGGAAGCAGCACTAAAAGCATCCTGACTCAAGATGAGTGGGAAACCATCCCAATAAACACATTTTGGATATGTCCTGTTTATTGTCTTGTTTAACTGCTAGGAAGTTCCTGCCTCAAGTATTCAGGGGCAACCAGAAGAGTGGAACACTTAGAGTCATTTGGGGCAAGTAAGTTGGCCAAGTACTTTAAAGTCCATTGGGACATTTGTATCCATCTAAGCTCGTTGGTTCTAGATTAAAAAAAAAGAAATAATAAGATTTTTACTTACACTTTTATGTTTCATAGAATTAGAAAATGACAGTTAATCATTACAGCACAATCCAACACATTACTTTTAAGGAAGAAAAGCTTCAGGTCCTTCACAGTTGTCAAGACGCTGCTTTGTTTGGAAGCTTAGTGTAGAGGTTGCTATTAGGTTCCTTGTGTAGGGCTGGTAATGTCCATTCTACAGTTAGAGGAAACTTGTCAGAGTGTGGGTTAGTGCTTTATACTCCATAGCCAGTGTTGTAGCCGACTCTGAGTCAAGGGTGGCTGTGCACTCATGAAGTGAGGGGGAGAACGTGTAGAGGTATATGAACCTAAAAGTGAAGGTGGAAAAATGAAGTCTTCAGTGAATTAAACACATTTTAGCTCGAAAAAGATGAGGACAGGGTTCATTACCTGGCTGTGGTGTTCCTATAGTTGGTACATAAACAACTGGAACAGTCTGGACTCTATTTAAGAAGGCATTGTATGCTGGAAAGAAGACAAAGGAGAAGTCACAAAAGTTTATCTGCTTTCCATTGCAGGGAGGCCTGAAAGGGCCAAGGAAACTTTAAAAGGAGATTTAAGCATTGTTTATAAATGATAGTAATACTTTTTTAAGCTCGATCATAGTATGGTAGTTTAGGAAGTTTTTATCCTAATTTCACCCATTTTAGTGATTTTCTTAACAGCTATAAAGGGAAAATGTAGAGAGAATGGTGATGTATTACTTGGGTTTGAGCAAAATTAGCTGTTAACCTCAAGATTTAGTAGCAGTTTTCACTTAGTGACATTTCAGTTTGCCATATCCAGTTGGTAAATTGATCTTTAATCCACTAGGTGAGTAGGGCTAGGGAGGCTAACTTGGTTTCAACTGCTTGTCACAAATTAGAAGTGATAAACAGCTCATTTTCATCCTCATTTAGTTTGTGAAATAAAATGAAGGCAGTTTCCAAGTCAAAGTCCACGGTGCTGAATATAAGGACTCCTTACCTAGAAAGATGAAAGCAGTTGATGCCAACACCGCAAAGAGGGTAAAGAGGAGGATCTGGTAAGAACCAACGAACCACTTGAGGATACCTGAATCTTCACATTGATCTATGCATTGGACGTAACAAGAATTATTAGCACATCCAGGGCACATGCAGCATTGAAAAATCTGGTCATCTATCAGAAGCATTCAAAACTCAGGTCTCTTAATTTTGCTTGCCAAAGAGAACAGGCCTTAAGTGTGAACTGGCTCCTTTACCTCCTTTTGGCTTCCATCCATCTCAAGCAAAAAAGTTGAGCCCTTTATTTTTTCCTCTCAGATTACAAAGGATGATTTAAATATTGTTGCTTTAAAATGCCTGTTAGTTAACATTCCTGTGCACTTTACCACAGGTGCCATACTTGACCTAAACAAGTCTGTGCTGACTGAATTTTATAATTTTTTTTTGGTTAGGTTTTTTCTTCCCTCGCCAGAGGGAAAGTGAGTAATCACCCTCTGGTTGGTTATGTGAGGAGCCCAGCTTCATACCACCTGCTGGCCCCTGAATTTTTATTCCTAATCTTTTAATCCTGATTGCTCAACTCTGAAACACCAATGAGTTCATAAACCCAAGGGACCCTTGTCCTGCTCAGAATGTCATTTCTAAGGCACATTATGATTTGTACTTTATCCTCAATAAAACTTCAGATTTGTGTCTTGGAGCATACTTGGCATCTGTGGTTATTTCTAATCTTTTGGTGTCTAGAAATGAGCATCCTACCAAACTGCCAGACTTTGAGGCTTTCTTGATAACTTGGCTGCCAGCTCTTCATATGTTACTCTGCATTCCTAGTATAGGCACTCTGTCTCTGAACTCCTAACTGGTTCCTGTACAATTCACTGTACTCTTCCACAATTTATAAACTGCTTCATTGAAAACACAGTTGGCTGCTTAAAATCCATACACTAAAGAGATTCTGTATGCTAGTCCCTAATCAGGTCTCTGGTTAAAGCTTTTGGCTTTCCAGTATTCATATGGGAGTATAAATACTGGGTCATTAGAAAAGTCATGTCAGATTTATGCATAGGAAAAAATATGTCATGACTTTTCTGATAACGCAGTAAAACTACAGTGGTAGCTGCCTGCGTTCAGTATTCTGGTTATACTGAGCTATTTGGTCCCATTTTAAACCTGGGATAGGTATAATGCCTGGGATATGCCAATAGGTACTTCCATACTTAATGTGAATAAACTGAAGATTGGCTTGGGTGTTTCTGCCTGCTTCTACATTACATACTGTAGTCCTTACCCTCAGGAAGAGCAGGGTGTTGTGTTTTGCTTTGTGCCAGGAGGCACTTTGCACTGGGAGAGAACACCCTCCAATGGGATGTAGTCATGCCACAATCTCAGTTTTCCCATCCTTTTGGGATTTGAGGCATATTCTGGCATGTGTTTCAAGCTGCCAGGCCAGGATTTGACTCACTTTACCACCAGGACACAGGGTGGATCTAGTGCAGTGGTTCTTAGTTAATTTTTGTGCCATGGCAGTTGGCAGCCTGGTGAAGCCTATAGGTCCCATATCAGAATATATCTTTTTAAAATTTTGTCAGAGGTTATGTGTGCTCCCTGGAGAATGAATGTCAGAAAACACCCTTATATGGGAATGGTTATGCTACAGTCCTTTCTCCACTTCCTCCTTTCTAGACTTTGACTGCACATGCACATTTGCCCAGTGTGTTTCTCAGCTGCCAGGTCCAAGACAGACCAGTCAGCCATGACATCCAGCCACCTTCATGCCACCAGCTGGCCTAAAAATGGCCTATTTTTTAAAGAATTACTTATTTTTGAGAGTTTTTTGCTATAAGGTGCATGTGCTCGCCAGAAAAACAGCGAGAAATCACCCCCCGGGGGGGGGAGGGGGGGATGGCCTTGCAGCACACACATGTACCTGGTGTGAGTTTAAGTCACCAGGTCCAGGACTCGAACTGCAGTTGACTACATGGGAGTTCAGTGGCATAGTCATAATGCCAACTGCTGGTCCCTATTATAATTTTTGAATTTGACCAGAGAGAGAGAAAGCAGGGTGCCACGTCCAGGACTTGAACTATGGTCAGCTGTGTGGGAGTCCAGTGTCTAGCCACCCTGCTACCTGCTGGCTCCAAAAAGCCTAATTTTAATAGGGTACCATGTTTGCTAATGGCAACAAAAATGATTGAAGTGCAGCAGCAGAACAATATCCAATTCGTAAGTCTGAAGTGAAATATTTTAAGATCTGATAATTAAAACATGAATATATCTGGATTCTACTGATGACTTGTCTATATTCATAATCAGTGGAAATGCTTTCAGCTAGAGGTTAACTGAAAACAAGATGAAATTTTTTTCACTCAGGGTGAACACTATTCTTGGACCCTAGATTTAAAAACTAGGTAGGGTTAGCAGGTGGTGTGGTTAAGGCACTGAACTCCCACATGGCTGACTATAGTTTGAGTCTTGGATCTGGTGGCTTGAAAATCACGCCAGGTATATGTGCATGCATGCCCAAAATCCAAGAAGAGAAGAGGTGAAGGGATTGTGGCAAAGCCATTCTCCCAGGGGGAAGGGGGTGATAATTGTTCACTTTGTCACTGTTCTCTCCAGCAAGCACACTTTATGGCAAAAACCTAAAAAACAGAAACAAATCCAAAAAACTGCTATTACGGATCCAGCAGGTGGTGAGGTAAAGGGACTGGATTCCCATATGGCCAATTGTGGTTCCATTCCTGGACGCACATGCCTGAAAATCACTCTAGTTACGTGTGTGTGCATACACAAAATCCCATGAGGAGAATGGAGAAAAGATTTTGAAGTAGCCATTCTGCCTGGAGGGTGATTTGTACCCCCCACCTCACCTCTGGTAAGCACACGCACTCTATAGCAGAAACAAACGACAAGGACAGTGCTGTCAAGTGATGTTTCTAGTGGTCAGACATTGAACATCTTAGGCTTTTGCCATAGGGCCCACATGACAGGGAAAGGGAGAAATCACCACCCAGGGGGATGGCCACACCACAATCCCTTCTCCCTTGTTCTCTCAGGGTTTGGGGTATGCACAAACATGCCCAGTGTGATTTTCAAACCACCAGGTAGGTCCAGAGTTGGCCATGTGAGAGTCCAGTACCTTAACCACCATACCACCTGCTGGCCCCACTCTGGTTATCTTAACACCTTCCATAACTATGTTCCCATCTTTTTTTTTTGGAGAGGGTTTTTGCTATAGGGCAAGTGAGCTCGCCAGACAGACAGAGACAGAAAGTGAGAAATCGCCCCCCCAGGGGGGATAGCCACGCTGCAATCCCTTCTCCATTCTCTTCTTGGGATCTTGGGCACGCACACGCACACGCACCCGCACCCACGCCCGGCGTGAGTTTTAAGCCACCAGGTCCGGGATGCGAACCGCGTCCATAGATGTCCCCATCTTTTCATAAATATGGCATCATGTTTAAACTGGGCAATATCAGGATTTAGGGAAGCTAAATCTTGGTTATAGAGTTATCAACATTTGCCCATTTTCTACTGTGAAAATATTTGCCAAGTATTTGTTTATTTTTAAAGAATTGTTTAATTTAAAAAAATATTTAATTCCATTTGTTATTATTATTTTAATTTGACCAGAGAGAAACAGAAAGGGAGAGAAAGCAAATCGCCAGGTCTGGGACTTGAACTGTGTTTGGCGTGTGGGAGTCCAGCATCCTTAACCACCATGACAACAGCTGGCCCCTTTATTTATTTAAAGACAGGGCTGGGCTAGCCAGTGGCATGGTGGTTAAGACAACTAGATTCCACAGGAGCACAGGAGGGACTGTGTGGTTCAAGTCCTAGACCCAACAGCTTGAGAAACAAGCTTGGCGTGTGTGTGTACACCCAAAATCCTGAAGGAAAGGACAAATGGAGGAAAAGGGATTGTAATGTGACTAATCCCTCGGGGGTGGGTGGGATGGGGGAGATGCTTTCTCACTTTCTCTGTTTCTCTTGGACAAGTGTGGTTGCCTTCTGACAAATAATAATTTTAAAAAAGATACAGGGGCCAGGGGACCAGCAGTTAGCGTAATGGCTATGTCGCTGGACTCCCACATAGTCGACTGTGGTTCGCCTCCTGGACCTGGTGGCTTAAAACTCACGCCGGGCGCGTGTGCGTGCGTGCCCAGGATCCCAAGAGGAGAATGGAGGAGTAGGGATTGTGGCGTGGCCATCCCCCCTGGGGGGTGATTTCTCGCTTTCTGTCTCTCTGTCTCTGTCTGGCGAGCGCACGCGCCCTATAGCAAAAACCTCTCCAAAAAAAAGTTACAGGGGCCAGCAGGTGGAATGATGGTTGGGAGTACTGGAATTAAACTGACACAGCTATTTTTTATTTTTTCAGTTTTTTTTTTTTTTTTCCATATGGTGCTTGTGCTTGCCAGAGAGAGGCAAAGAGAGACAGTGAGGGACCAGCAGTTGGCATAATAGCTATGTCGCTGGACTCCCATGTAGCCTACTGTGGTTCAAGTCCTGGACTCGGTGGTGGCTTAAAACTCACACCGAGCCCATGTGCATGCGTGCCCAAGATCCTGAGAGGAGAATGGAGGAGAAGGGATTGCGGCGTGACCATCCCCCCTGGGGGGTGGTTTCTCACTTTCTGTCTCTCTGTCTTTCTGGCAAGCGCATGCAACCTATAGCAAAAACCTCTCCCCCCCCAAAAAAAAAAAAAAAAGAAAAAAGAGAGACAGTGAGAGGGGGACTGGCCACACTGCAATCTCTTCTTAATTCTACTGGAAGTTTGGTCATGCACCCATGCATGCTGGTGTGGTTTTCAGGCCACAGGTCTGGGACTCAAACTGTGACTGAGAATGTGGGAGTCCAACCTTACTGGCCCGACACAGCTGTTTTTTTAAAATAAGGTTTTTTGCCATAGGGTGCATGTGCTTGGAGGAGATAGAGACAGTGAGGGTAAAAGTGAAAAGTCACCCCTGGGAGGACAGTTATGCACTCCCTTCTTCATTATCCTCTTGGGGTTTTGGATATCCACACGTGGTGTTTCAAGCCGCCAGATTTGGGACTTGAACTGCAGTCGACCATGTGGGAATCCAGCAGCTTAACCACTATGCCACCTGCTAGCTCCGACACAGCTATTCTTTTTTAAAAAAGAATTATTTAACTTTATTTATTTACTTCTTTATTTTAATTTGACCAGAGAGGGACAGAGAGAGAGAGAGAAAGTGAGAAAGCAAGCCGCCAGGTCTGGGACTCGAACTGCTATCAGCCATGCGGGAGGCCAGCACCCTTGACCACCACGCCACCTGCTGGCCCCAGCACCCAACACAGCTATTCTTAAATATAAAAATCAAGTATATGGGGCTGGCAGGTGGCATGGTGGTTAAGAACACTGGATTCCCATGTGGCTGACTGTTGTTCGAGTCCCGGAATTGGCGGCTTGCTTTCACCCATTCCCTTTCTCTCTCTCTGTCTTTCTCTGGTTAAATAAAAAAATAACAAATGGAATTTCATAAATGAATAATTCTTTTTAAAAAATCAAGTATAGGGACCAGAAGTTGGCATAATGGCAATGTCGCTGGACTCCCATGTAGTCGACGCGGTTTGAGTCTCAGACCTGGTGCCTTAAACTCATGCCAGGTATGTGTGCATGCATGCCCAAGATCCTGAGAGGATAATGTCTCTCTGTCTCTGTTTTTCTAATGAGCACACATGCCGTATAGCAAAAACCTCTCAAAAAAAAAAAAAAATCAAGTATAAAATCTAGCAAGCATTGAGAAAGCTACCTTGGGACCAGCAGATGGTGTAATTGTTGTGTTGCTAGACTCCCACGTAGTCGACTGGAGTTCGAGTCCTGAACCCAGTGGCTTAAGACTTGCTGCATGCCTATGTGTGCGTGCCTAAAATCCCAAGAGAGTTGGAGAAGGGATTGCGGTGTGGCTACCCCTGTGAGGGGGTGTGGTTTCTCCCTTTCTGTCTTTCTGTCTCTCGCAGAGGGCGTGTACACTCTGTCTCTCTGGTGAGTGCATGCGTCCTATAGCAAGAAATCTCAAAAAAATAAATAAAGAAAGCTACCTTAAGGTATAAGGTGTATATATATTTTTTGGAGAGATCTTCGCTATAGGGTGCGTGCGCTCGCCAGACAGACAGAGAGCGACATAGAGACAGAAAGCAAGAAATCACCCCCCAGGGGGGATGGTCACACCGCAATCCCTTCTCCTCTACTCTCCTCCCGGGATCCTGGGCACACACACACACACACACGCGCCCGGCGTGAGTTTTAAGCTACCGGGTCTGGGACGCGAACCGCGGTCGACTATGTGGGAGTCCAGTGACATAGCCATTACGCTAACTGCTGGTTCCCTAAGGTATATTTTGATTTTGATTGGTTTGGAAGATAAAGATGCATGCCTCAGCGAATTTGAGTAATCTTGGCTGAGTGACTGAATGTTTCTCATACATTCTGTCTTCCTTTAGACTTAAAGTAGGAGTCCCAGTGCTTACCTTCAGATGTATCCTTCTTAGCTCTCACTACCACAGCTTCACTTTGCTGGGTGAGCACACAAGAAATATTGATAAAAACAGGTGATGCCATCTGCTGGAAGGAAGTGAAGTTGACTACTCTTACAGGATAGATGACCAGGCCAGGTGTGACGGGAGAGTGCCTGTGGCCTGAGACCACCAGAACTGGGGAGCTGGGGGAGACCTTGGAGAAAAGGTAAAACAGCACTTATTTGAAAGAAGAAAAATCAGTTTGATATCAATATGACCCAATATCAAACACTACAATATAAAAATGTCAAGATCTGGATTTTTAGCTTGCTAATTGACACTAAATAAGTCATTTACTTTTTAAGTCCTTAGATGTATTGAAGGATAAGGGAAGAAAATGAGCTGTCAGAATAAAGTTTCTGGAAAACTTTAAATTGGAATTCTAAGGACTGTTTTAAAAGGTAGCACTGTCAGTCTTCCAGGTTGACAAAGCTCCTGACCTAGATTTTATGCTCTGGAAGCCTGCCTGGCATTGTGAATGGGACAGGTTCTTCATTTGATCCAAGAATTTCGTATGGTGATTTTTTTTTTTTTTAGGTCACTCAGTAACTTCCTTTACCTTGGGATGAGAATGAAAAATCTTTTTTCAAATCTCTGATATGCTTTGGTTTAGTCCCTAACGTACCTCCAACTTTTCAAGAACTCTGTCCACTCCCAGCACTCTTATTTCCCCGATGTCTTGCTTGTGGCTAAGAACGAGTTCGGACTGGTTCATATAAAAGGCTGGGATGAAAGGAATCAGGATTCTTTGCATTCCATTCTTGCCCCGTTCACTGACCAGCGTGGCCCAACCGTACACTGAGGTGTCAGCCGTGCTGAGGGCCTGGAGCAGCTCCTCTGACTGGGGCCGCACCTTGATGAGGCAGACATAAACCCCTAGGAAGAAGACAAATTGGAGCAGGGAGATTCAGAGGCTCTACTGAACCAACTAAATTAGGGTAGGAAGAAAAAATGGTGATGTGCAAAACAACCAAAGAAAAACTGTGAACTGTTTTGAGTATTCCAAGATCAATATACTAATTGCCATTATGAGGAACATACCAAAGGAAAAACAGTCTAGGGAACCCACAACTGAAATTGTTGCCTACAGACTCGAACTGTGATCAGCCATGTGGGATTCCAGTGCCCTTAACCACCATGCCACCTGCTGGCTTCCCCCCGGCCACTTCATTTTATTTTTGAAAAAAACTTTTCCAGGGCTCTATCTTGCTTGGACTGTCCTGTATTCTTCACATCTAGTTTATTCCTAGTCATACTTTTTTAAAAAAAATTATTTCATTTATTATCATTATTACCTATTTCATTTGACCATAGAGAGAGAGAGAGAGAAAGGGAAAGTAGGGAAGCAAGCCCTCAGGTCTGGGACTTGAACCATGGTCAGCCATGTGGGAGTCCAGTGCCTTAACCACCTGCTGCCCTCCCAGTCATACTGCTAAAGGTAATTTTCTCTCTAAGTTTTAGCCTTGGGACCAACAAGTGGCATGGTGGTTAAGGGCAGGACATTAAGGTTTGATATATATATAAACCTCTTCTTTGCTGCCCCAATACACTATGTTATATCTCTGTTCTATAATTAATCACCCTTTGGAGTGAGAGTTGAAAATGTTAGTCCTTGGGACCAGCAGGTGGCACAGTGGTGAAGGTGCTGGAGTCCCACATGGCCAACTCTGGTTTGAGTCCTGGGCCCAACAACTTGAAACTCACCCTGTCTGTGAGTGCATGTCCACAATTCTGAGAGAATAGAGGAGAAGGGATTGAAGCATGGCCATCCCCCCAGGGGGTGATTTCTTATTTTCTGTCTCTGTCTCTGTCTTTCCGGCAAGCACATGTGCTCTATAGCAAAAAAAAAAAAAAAAAAAAAAACTTCTCTAAATAAAAAATTAATTAATTAAT